CGGTCCCGGTGCGACGGCACCACCTACAGAATGCCTGCCAGGTGGCCTTGAAAATACGAGTAGTAGATGGTCGTCGGGCCACCTGGATAGTGTCAATAACTTTACTCGAGTAGTGGAGGGCGGTCAGAATAGCCCGCTCACGTGCCACATGGCTAACTGCAGGAGCTGGGAGTTCAGGTGGATGAGAGCCCCCTGGTTGAGCTGGATCTGGTCGTCCGGAATCCTTCACAGGCGGGATACCGACAGGTGCACGAGGTCTGCGTACCAGGGTTGTCTGGACCACATTGGAGCCACTAGCAGCACTTCCGCCTGTTCCGTCAAGATCTTCTAGATGACCGACGGAAGGATCGGGAGAGGGGGAAAGGCGTAGAGGAGGCTGGCCGGCCATGGACTGTGTAGAGCATCCACCCTCTTCACCCCGGGAGCCTGGTACCTGGTGTAAAAGCACGGGAGCTGCGTGTTGTGTGGCTGCGCAAACAGATCCACCTCGGGGAGGCCGAACCGGCGAGAGAGTTCCCGGAAGATGTCGGGGTGGAGTTGCCACTACGGTTGGTCCACGGTGGCTCTGCTCAGCCAGTCCGCCTGTGTATTGGCCACACCCGAGATGTGCTCTGCTCGGATCGACAATAAGGAGGTCTCCGTCCAGCGATGTAACTTCTCCGCCTCCAACATCAGGGCCTTGGAGTGGGTGTCCCCCTGGCGGTTGACATGGGCCTTGGAGGCAACGTTGTCGGTTAAGACCAACACATGGTTGTGTGATACAATGTCCCGAAACTCCAGGAGGGCTAGGGGGATGGCGCAGAGCTCCAGCCAATTTATGCTGTTTGACTCGACTCCTGACTCGACCAGCGTCCCTGAGCCACCCAGTCCAGGGCATGGGGCCCCCATCCAAACAGGCTGGCATCAGTCATAATTTGGATGCGGTACAGTTCCCTGAAGGGGCACCCTTGGAGGAGCTTGGAGGACGTCCACCAATGAAGGGATCTGAGTGGCTTGTGTGGGAGTCGAACCTTGGTCTGGGAGTGGCTGGTGTGTGCCCTCTGTAAGGGAAGCAGGAACCATTGAAGTGGGCGTCATGGAATCTGGCCCAGGGAACCATGTTGATACAAGATATCATCTTCCCCAACAGTTTGGACAGCATGGCCAATGGCAAGAAGCTCTGGGATAGTACTTGATTTGCCAGGCGCTGGATGCTCTGTCGCCTCTCTGGAGACAGGGAGAGTTCGCACGTCACTGAATTGATGATGGTCCCCAAGTGGAGCAGCGATGTGGTTGGCTGCAAGTGGCTCTTGGGGAGGTTGAGGACGAAACCGTGACTGCGCAGCGAGTCCATCGTGACCTGCAGATCGTGTAGGGCCTGGTGCTGAGACAGAGACAGCACCAAGATGTCGTCCAAATAACAATTCACTCGTATTGGGACCGAGCGAAGCGAAGCCGCCATGACTGCCAGGAGTTTGGTGAATGTGTGCGGGGCCGACGACAGGCCAAAAGGTAAGGCCCGGTATTGAAAGTGATGGCCATTGAACTGGAAGCGTAGGAACTTCCAATGTGCCAGATGGATGGGCACATGGAGGTACACCTCTTTGATATCGACTGATGTCATCATGTCGCCTTGGCGGATGGAGGCCAATATACTTTTGAGAGATTGCATTTTGAATTTTTGGTACTTATACCGATTGAGCCTTTTCAAATCTAGGATGACCCGCCATCCCCCTGAGTTCTTGGGCACAAGGAACAAGATGGAGTAAAATCCTAGCCCTTCCTGACCCCTTGGTATCGGCTCTACAGCCCTGATGGTGAGAAGGTGCTGAATTTCGGCATCCATGAGGCGCCGCTTTGTTGGACACCTGGGTACGGGACACTTGATGAATCGCCTTGGGGGAATGACGAGAAATTCTAGAGTGAGGCCCAGCCTCACGACCTGAACGGCCCAGGTGTCAGACGTGGTCTCCGCCCACTGATGAGTGAAGGCCAGGAGACGCCCTCCAATGGCTTCCTCCCCTCATGAGTCACCGGTACCTCCGAAAGGACCAGTTTCCACCTCCATGAAATGGCCTCCTAGCCTGAGGCTGTGTCTGGTTCTGCTGGCGACCCCTATCTCTAGCCCCCGTGCGATCCTGACCACGATCCTGGGCCTGGGAGAAACCCCTGTTGTAGTGTGGAACATAGGGAGCAGGGGCGAATCCGGAGTCCCCAGCCCGAAAGGGCTGTCGCCTATTATAAGGCTGTTGCCTCCTATTGGCATGGCCCGCAGTGGAAGGGAGGACCTTACGCTTGTCTCTAGTCTCAATGAGGATGGGGTCTAGAACAGACCCGAACAGAGCCCCACCTTTAAAGGGTGTGGACGCAAGGCGCCACTTGGATTTGACATCCACTTGCCAGTGGCGAAGCCACAGCAAACGCCGGGAAGCCACGTTAGAGACTACAGCCCATGAGGCGAATTAGGCAGCACTAAGAGTGGCATCCGCAGAAAATTCCAAGGCTGCCATCAATTTAGTAATATCTTGGTGAAGGCGCATTTCCTCTGGGGCAAGCCTACCCTGCAATTGCTTAAGCCACACTAAAGAAGTCCTATTAAAGAAGGCCGCAGCAGTAGCTGAGCGCAGAGCCCAGGCCGCAGCCTGATGGGTCTTACGAATGACTGTCTCGGCCTTACGGTCCTCCGCCTTCAAACCCTCTGAAATTACTGATGGGATCAATGCCGGAGAGGCGAGGGATGCAATAGGGGTATCTATGGTGGGGAACTGAAGGAGGCCTTCCAACTCAGGAGTAGAAGTGTACAATTTCCTATCCCCAGTGTTGGGTGGGGTAACCACGGTCGGTTGATCCCACTGCTTTTGAATCAGATCCAAAAAAAGCTTGGGTGAAGGAATAACATCCTGCAAAGCTACCTGTTCAGCAAAGAGGCGCTCAGTTGCATCCAACCCCACTGCTGTGCTCTCCTTAGAAGCAGCCTCCCCCATGTGGGTAGTGGTTTTAGCCTTGTAAAGCAAGGACTTAAATAGAGAATGCCGGAATAGGCCAGGGCAGTAGGCTTGTCCAGAGGCAACCCCCCATCATCGGAGAACTCCCTGTCTATAACCTCACCCTCCTCCACTAAGGCCGACTCCACACTATAGGTTGAGTGAATCAGAGAAGGAGGGTCTGTTTGCAGAATAGACGAATCCCCTTGCACAGGTTGGGGATCAGGCCCAGACTGGGCCACAGAGGCTCTAGGCACCTGGGTCCTACGAAGCAACTCTGCATCTACACCTCTAGAAATAGCTGCAGATAATAATTGATAAAAATCAGGGGGAAGGCCCAAATCCTGCCTTCCAAAGGCCTGAGGCCTGCAGCTGTAGGGGTGAAGGTAGCCAAAGGCCCTGCATGTGGGGGTGATTGAATCGAAGCCACACTAACTTCTGAAGTGACTGGGGGGGATTGGGGCTCCAAACCCCTTTCCCAGGAAGTGGTGCCTGGGGCAGGTGGATATCAGGGGACCAACCCTGCTCAGAGATGCGCACCAGAGAAGCACGCTGTGGAACCAGCACCGGTGGTGAGCAGCTAGGCGCCCCCGAAGTTTTGGATGTTGCCTTAGCCTTGTCCTTGCGTTTATGCGACTTGTCCCGAACGGCAGAAGAGGCCTGGGGCCTATGGCTGGAAGCCCTAGTAGTGGCCCTGCCAGGCCTTGGGCTAGTCCCTCCCTTGCCAGGGGAACGGGGCTCACAAATGGGCTCAATATTACCCTTTGAAACAGACTTATCTGCCATGGTCACAATAGAATTGAAAAGGCTCAAGTCCAGATAGCAATGAGAAGCGATTCACTCCACTGCACAAGGCGCCACGTGAAGGCAGAAGCTACGCTGAGGCGACCTCCTCACTGAGTCAGCAGCCACAAGTGAGGGAAAAGGGAGGACCGTCGGAATGACGCTGACGCCTGGGCACGAATGTGAACGCCACGCCTCTCCCATCCATTCCTGCGCATGCGCAGAGCCTCAGACCAACATGGCGGCCGCTGCAGAAGGCTTGAATTTCAAACCGCCAATGCAGCAAACAGGCACCAAAAGCCAGTAAGTTCGCAAGCCCTTCTTGGCTGCAGCGTCGCCCAAGGGGAAAAACTCCCTGCGGCAAGGGACAGCAGGTCTGGGAATGGCCGCGCCGCACAGGCGGGTTGCTCCCAACATGATAACAGTGCCGGGCAACGCACCGGCCCAGAACAGTAAATAAGGACAGTCTTCAATCCGCGTGCGCGAACGCTACCGCTCCGAGTCGGCTTGCCGAGCCAGAAGGTCTCGCAGCCTCCGCTCCCAGGCAGGAAATTGAAGGCAAGAGGGTTTGGGCTGGCAGCGAACTGCCGCCTCCACCTCTGATCACAATAAATCAGTTGAAAAACCTCATTATTGACTGCAGAATCCAAGAAAAAGGTGATAATTTTGTCTATTAGCCAAGAGAAAATTGAGATGCGTCTCGTTAGGCTGGACTGAGTAAAGAAACTGACTTGGTCCAGTCAGAGGAGGCGTGGTCAAAATTTACATACTCAGTCTCTAGGCTAATGGACAAAGTTAACCCATGATTGGATTCCCCAAGCAGCACACAGGAGAATTGAATATTCCCATACAATTTGTATGTTTTAATGAACCCAAAGTAAACAAAATATGAATTAAAAAGTTAAACTCATGTATTCCTTTTGTGCATCCGACCAATTCAAAATAAGAAACTTGTTAATACGGAAGGTGCACATTAGAACTTCCATTCTATTTTTTTTTTTTTTGTAAAATTGTTAATAAGGCCACTGAAAAATTGACTCATTAAAGGAAGACCCTTCTAACTTTTCAGTTTGGGTTAAACAGTGTTGAACAGTGGTGTTAAGCAGTGAAGTTTCCTTTCATTAGAGTGGTATCATATATTTAATTGTTACATAGCATTATTCTTTGCACAAGCTTGAAAATTATCTGTCTGCGGGTTTTCAAAGAAAAAGAAAGGATCATAAAGATTAAACAGGGAAAAGGTCAGGCTACCAAAAGGAGAAATAGAAAAGTAGTGGGGGGGATGAAGAACTAAAGAACCACATAACAATAACAATAAATGAAGGATTCTTTTCACAGAATTCTTGGTACTAAGAACTTTGTTGTCATATTTGTAAATAAATCAGTAACAACTTGTACCATATCTATGATCTCATAATGTTATCAAGTGTGTGAATAAATTACCACTGAAGGCAATCACGTTGTTTTCTAAAATAACGATAGAACATATGAACCATTATAGAAAAAGTACAGCATTGTTCCATGTAAGTATTGTGGAAGAAATTAGTCACCCATTGTACATGTAGTTTTTGACTTATGACTAATCATTTAATGACCATTCAGAAAGGATATTTTACAAGAGGCAAAGCACTTCCGACCATTCATGTGTTCTCAATGGAACATCCTTAATATAACTTGTGGTTAAAGTCCACTCTCTAATTATTTTTAAATGTCACAGTACAGCAGCTCACAACCCAAATTCATTAGAAAGAAGAAATCAGTGATAGGTAGCAAATTAAATATTGTCCATAGGCTATGCCTATGGGTGATTAATAATGCAAATGTAGCACTTTAATGCAGTGTTTCCCAGTCTTGATACTTCCAGGTGTATGTATTCAACTCTGAGAATTCTTGTTAACGGTCATGTTGGCTGTAGAGTTCTGGAATTTGAAGTCTACACACTGGGGAAATTGCCATGGTTCATAAATAATGGTTTAATATAACAGAAGTTGATTTGGGGAATCTATAATTCCAGGCTTGGAAGGTTTTTTTTTGTTTTTGTTTTTAAGTAAAGATGGTAACTATGGACATTCAATCAAAAGTCTACCCCTTTCTGGGTTATAAAGACAACCCTGAGTATAAAAAGAGTAGAAAATGGTATACTTTCAAACTCTAAATAACAGACATATGTATAAATGTGCTTGAAGCTGAACAACTACATTATTTTAAGCTACATTTTGCATAATGGGGAAAAACATTTTTTTGGTATTAAGCGAGTTAATTTAAAAAAAGCTGATTTGTATCATAAAAGTGCTGAGAATTGCTATCTGTGATTTTCAGGGCCCTGTAATCTGTTTCTTTAGTCAATTCTCCCCCATTCATAATGTGGCCATAACATTAATTAGCCATTGACTTTACTGTATAAAATACAGACCTCAGTATTGTTTCCAAACCACCAAATATATGTTAAGGTTCCAACTTGACTGGGCCATAATATTGCTGTGGCATTAACTTCTTTGTTCTTTGTTGTTACAAATGGAAGCGACAAATGGACATGCTCTAAAGGACCTAGAAATGAGGAAGAAATAAGAAAAAACGTTTTCATAAAAACATTGTCAGATTTTAAATTTTATGTTCTGCAATTTCAGTAGGACTGTAGGCTGCTTCATTTACAAACTAATGTCAGCATTATTGCAATCTGCAGAAGATAAGAGCAGTCTCACTACAGGTTGTTCATTCACGCAGAGGTGGAAGGGAAGAGAAGGGGAAACATAAAAGGAGATAGACATTGTCTAAATTCTACAAGAATCCTAACTTATGATTCCCAGAAGAATAGCTATATCATTTCAGAAAAAAGGGAATATTTTCTATTTGAAATATAGATGTTACATGCTCCCATTGAGCCGAGGTGGCGCAGTGGTTAAATGCAGCACTGCAGGCTACTTCAGCTGACTGCAGTTCTGCAGTTCGGCGGTTCAAATCTCACCGGCTC